ATCTGTACGGGGTTCTAACCCTCCCCCGCCCGATGCGTCTCTATCCGCGTATTGGGGAGAGTCTGAGGGAAAGGAGACATTCGTGATGAAGTAATGATTCGTGGTGATTATTAATGTACATTATTATAATGAAGGGACACGCCCCCCCTCCCCCATCATGGGGTCACAGCAGACACGACAATGAACGATGTTGCTATGGGTTACCGCCCTCCTCAGAACGCCGCCCCCCGTCCATCTAACCTGGAAATATAAATATGAAGCATGCCGCCAGTCCTCCGATCAGGGAGATGACTCTTCCGATGTCCGGGATGAAGAGCGCCAGCAGCAGCGTCAGCACAAACCAGGCGAGCGTCTGCAGGATGCGGCGGCGGCGCTCCCGGCGCGGCTCCTCCCCCGCTTCCTGCGCGGTAAATCTTAGCCAGAGCCCCTCCAACACTGCCCTGCAAAAAGGGAAACGCCGATATTACAGCGGTCACGTGATCGCGCGCAGGTCACGTGATCGCGCAGCTTTTGCTATCTTCAAAGGATTGGTGTGCTGGTGACATTTCTACAATTTTGTCCATCCGCAGTCACTGCAAGCCCCCCACACTACAAGGGACATATCGGTAAGGAGTGCGACAAGGATAGTACTTATGATCACGCACAGGTCACGTGATTGCGCACAGGTCACGTGATTGCGCACAGGTCACGTGATCGCGCACAGGTCACGTGATCGCGCACAGGTCACGTGATCGCGCACAGGGTTTTGGGCAGGAGGTCGGTGGGACGGGGGAGCCCAGAGAGGAGATTTAAGCAATGCAGCTTCCCGTGTCACCTCCACGGCCTCCTCACCACAGAGTGGCTGAACAGACCAGCGGAGGTGGATCACAAGACTGGCCGGACACAACTACAAATCCCCCCCTTATATCTATCACCTGTGGAGTCCAATAGGCACATTTCCCTGCGGTGTGAGCAGCCTCCAGGGACGAGCACCGCGGACTATACGACAACACAAATGATCCCGATAGGAGGAGTTGTCACCGGAGAGGGGGCGGAGCTGTATGCGGATAGTGGGATCTAGTGCACGTGACTCGGTGAGAAGCAGAAGATGGAACTGACCGGCCGCAGTAGTGAAGAATTGGGTAGGAGGTGAGCACACATACGATGATGAACGCGCGGGCCACGGCCACTGGAACGTCATTGGACGGGAAGGAGAGGAGGACGTCCTGGTCCACACCGGTGCCGAACAGCAGGTACCCGCACACCCCTAAAGACACGACACGGTTACATCACGCCAATGACATCATACAGGAGAGGGAGGAGCTCTGCCCCCCACAGCTAACATGTCACCCAGATATTCAGAGAGGACTCTGCCCGGCCCGTCATACATGTATATACCGCGCTTACCTGTCCCCGTATACACACACAGGGCAATAAACATGGCGGAGGTCACGATGATCCCCCAGCGTCGTATATCCTGCTGCTGCATGCTGCCGTACACGGGGACGCTACTGACATGGCACTGCAGAGACAGCGAGAAGAGGGGGGGTAAACATGTGTAGAAGGTGAAGGCCGGTACACACACATGTAGAAGGTGAAGGCGGGTACACACACATGTAGAAGGCCGGTACACATACATGTAGAAGGCCGGTACACACACATGTAGAAGGCCGGTACACACACATGCAGAAGGCCGGTACACACATGACAGAACAGAACAATATCTGCACACCTGATATCCAAAGCAGATGGTGGGGACAGCGTTGAAGACAGCAATCCAAGAGGAGGCCCTGAGGAGGCAAGTGGCATGTCAGCTGAGGAGGAGGAGACGAGGAGGAGACCGGGAGGGAGCGGGAGGAAGAGGAGGAGACCGGGAGGGAGCGGGAGGAAGGAAGAGGAGGAGACCGGGAGGGAGCGGGAGGAAGGAAGAGGAGGAGACCGGGAGGGACCGGGAGGAAGGAAGAGGAGACGGGGGGGGGGGGGGAGGAGGAGGCGTGGAGGGAGCGGCCGTAGCCATTCCCTCCCTTTCTCCCGGTACCGGCGACTCAAGCGCCTCCACACTGCCTCATCAACCAGCGACGAGCAACATCCTGCCGCATCACGTAATCAGTGGCCAATCACAGGCCTCGCTGACGAAAACAAGTATAAGCTGGGCCAATCGTATACGAGAGACCGCAGGGACTCCGACCGCTTCCTGCCTAGGCTCCTCCTCTGCTCTCTCGTCACCATGGTGCACGTAATCATCAACAAATCCGGCCTTCTTATGACAATTTAGGGACCAATCGCAAATATGAGAGTGGAGGGAGGGGGAGGAAGGGGAGGAGACCGGGAGAAAGGGGAAGGAGCGGGAGGAAGGAGGAGACGGGGAGGGAGCAGGAGGAAGAGACGGGGGAGGGGGTTCTACCTGGATGGAATATACGCCGGGATCTGTTCGTGTGGCAGGACGCAGCGGAAGATGACAATAAACGTCACATAACACGTCCCGAGAACACTGATGGAGCTGCGAGAGACAAGGAGAGCGTCAGAGACAAGAGACAGAGGACACAGAGCAGCCCCCAGGGG